ATTTTAAGTAGATATTTTTAATGTGGAAGACGTTATACATTATTTCTGATTCATTATTGCAATATTCAGGGTAAATATTTTAGGGTTTTTATTTACAGTGCGTGCCTGTAAAACGGGACTACTATTATACTATTACAAGTTGTAAAGTTTGATTTTCAAAGCAACGAATTAAAAATTTCTTTTTCGTTGTAAATTGGCTTTGGATTTAATTTTTATGTTGCTGAAGGGAATCGAAATTTTTCAGTTCTTTTCTTCCGGTATACATGCACATCCCCGTTAAGAAATTTACAATGTTTAACGATTATTAAAATGATTGTGTATAAAAATGTAGGAATAAATATAAATTTAATGAAAATTTTTTAATTTTTTATTTTTAAATTTATTTAAGCAAAATTAACTGTTGCATGAAATGAAGAAAAGAAAAATTTAAATGAAAAATAAAAAAAATTGCATAAAATAAGGAGTGGAAGTAATTTGATTTGCAATCAATTTAATTTTTCTTCCCCTATTTCTTGTTTATTGCTTTTCTTTTATTTTTTGCTTTTTTTCTCTTCTACTTAAAAGGAGGCGTTCAAAACTTAACACGACAATGTCGAAACCTTGTAAATTTAATAAACAATCAATTGACAAACGAACAACAATAATAATAAATAAAATTTTGCAACAATAATAATTTTTAAGTGTAAGCCGCCTAAAGATGTAAATTGAACGTCATAGAACTCATTCTAGTATGTGTGTTTTTAAGAACGAGTAGAAAAAATGTACCGCAAAAGAAAATCAAATTATTGGCGTGTGGTGTCAATTTTTTCGGGTTGAAAAAAAACTTCAAAAATTTTGTTTTTCTTTTGTTTTTCTACAATTTTCCAATATTTTCTTAAATTATTTCCTTGTACTCGTATTTTGGTTCTTCTTTTTTTTTGGAAAATATATGATAGCAAAATTGTAAAAAAGTAGAAAGAAATAGCAAGAAATCTTTTCTTTCACTTTTGAACAATTTAAGCGCTTTTTGTTTTCGCTTTGTTTTTTTTTAAAGGGAAGGTATAAAAAAAACGCTTTTGACACTTCAAGTACAAATAAATTGTGCGCTTAACGTGATGGATTTACTTTAGGGGAAAACTTATTCTTTCTTACTTTTGTTATTTATTTCGAAACTTTTAAATGATTATTGTAACAGATTTGTTTTTTATTTCTTCCTTGTGATTTTACCTATACTATGTACAGGTAATGTGCAAGGAGAGTGAAAAATGAATTAAATTAAGAAATTTATGGTTCAAACAATTGAATCAAAAAAAAGAGTATTTTGAGTTTTGTGAACACTAATTTTTGTATATGATTTTTGTAATCACAATGTGGCTATGTGTATAACTGCAGATTTTGTGTACACTTTATCAAAAAAAACTGAGATTAAAAATATGCCGGAATGCAATGCCGGTAACATTAAAATTTGAAGCTCATTATTAAATTTTAATAAAATTCAAAACCCTTTAAAATTCTTTTATTGATTTTAATCCGTTATATTTTGCTTCTATAGACTTATTACAACCTTGTACATTGCAGGCTTTTGAATAGGTACATAGAAAACAAAGAAAAATTTCTCCTTCAACTACCGAAGCCAGCCATGATTTATTGTAGCCCTCCTAATATTCCAAATCCCACAGTAAAAAAAAATACCCAAAGATATCTCTAAATGAAATTTGTAGATGAACTCCCTAGCATTGCAAAAGCTATGTCCACATCATTTGAGTCTCGTGACGAACAGTGTGGGAAAGTTAAGCAGAATTTTTATGACCGTTTGTATGTATGATATTTCAATGCAGAATGCCCAGTGAAAAAGTCAGTAATAGCATGAAACCCATTTCGATTCATTTCCAGCAACTCTGAGGAAAACTTTCTTGATGAAGATAGAATGATCAGTTTCGCATGATGACATCTCCTAGTAGCGTGCCAGCAAAGATTCGATTCCCCCTCAAGCGAAACCCCAAGTCTGCCGATATTAAGCAGACAAAAGGGGGCGAACTAACTGAATGGGAAATCAGATACCCTACGCTCCAATTCGTCAGAAGAGCATTCGTTGCCCTCTGTGCCTACTGTGCTCCGGCAGCCAAATGAGCGTTACTCTCTTTGCTGATGTCAGGTCTATATTATTCCATATACTGAACATAAGTAATCGCAATAGTATTAATTGTAGTAGGTATTTATAAAACTTTATAAGAGTTTATTTAAATTTACAACATAATGATTTCAATTTAATTTACTTCCTCTAAATTCACGATCAATCGCTTGCTTACAATGTACATCCATGTTTTTTTTTAAATCCTGCACGCTTGAATTCAATAAAATTTCCATGCTTTCTAATCAGAATTGCCATTATTTTGTGTAAAAGTACAGCGAAAGAAAATATGGATAAAATTTTATTTTATTTTATTAATTGAAAGTGTAACTGCAGAAAAATCTAATAAATTCATTGTTTAGTTTTCGCGGTTTCTAAAAATAAAATATTATTGAATTATTATTTTTTTTGTTTTTTCTTGCCAAAATTTATATTTTTGTACCAGTACAGTGAGAATATACAATTTTATAATACAAAGATTTAAGGATTAAATTCCCGAAAATAAAATAAAATTTATTACAGTTGGAAATATTTTTATAAAATTTAGAATAAGAGTAGAGTTGCTGGCTCTACAAATTTTTTTATATAGAAAATTTTTTGCATTAGATTGTTTTTTTTGTAAATAACCATCTTTATTTCTATTTTTTTTTATTTTTTCGAAATAAATGAATTTATTTATTTTCTGTGAAACAAAATATTTTTTTTACATGGAAAAAAAATGAAAATCAAAAATTTTTATTAAGTTGATTTTGTTGCAGAAAATTTTGTGGTGGTTAGTTTAATTTCAACTGAAATTTTTTTTATTTATTTATTTATGGAATTTTGAAAAGTTTGTGGTTTGAATTTTTTTTTTTTTGGTTTGCATTGGGTTTTATAAAAATATTGGAAATATTGTTGTTGAAAAATAAGTTTTTACTTTAATCTTTATCATAGAATAATGGTAAAGGTATAAAATCGATTGGGTCCAACATATTTTATAAAAATGATTAAAGAGATTTATTGGTAGATACCTTGAAATTTTTAAATAAAATATTTTAATCTTTTTAACCCTGAAAGTTTTAATTACATTTTTGCTAAAAAAAATAATAATTTATTAAGAGTATGGAATAATTTTTATAAAATAATTTTTTTATGTGTTGTGTGTGGGGTATAATTGTTCCAAGAAATTTTCAGATCGAAATAATTTTTGGCAAATTTTCGAAATTAAAATAAATTGATAACGTCTCCATTACCTTAAAAAAAAATTGCAATTAATTTATATTTAAATTAAAATTCATGAATTTAAGCTGGAATAAGGTGGGTGGATGAAGATCTTGTACCAAAATATAAAAATGTTTTATAATATTGTGCTAGAATTTGCCTCCCAAATCTTTTAATATTTTATAATAATTTCTAGTTATTTAAAAAATCCAATCAAATTTAAAAAATAGAATAATAGAATTTCGGATATAATAAAATAGAATTTGCGACAGAAAATTAGATAAAGTGTTAAAAACTTAAATATGTATCAGTTCTTCTTATAATTTACGCACGAGGTTTCTGGAGAAAAAATTGTAAAAAAGTCATAATATTTAATTTGGAGCCTTAGTTATCTACATACTCACAATATACGTATATATGCTCTATAACAAGCAAATAAAATTGATTAATTTTGCGTTTTATTGCTCTTCTAATTTCGAAAATATTAAGTCTTATTATTCCACTTAATATAGCTTTATTAAAGTTATATACACTTAGAAACAATATTAATTAAGAGCACTTCCTACAAGGTGTATTCGTAATATGATTAAATTGTTTTTAAAAGAAATGTTGATCAGAAGCAATCAGCTATTCATAAGTTGTTATTCTCTATATATTCTTTAAGAGAATATTTACCTGCACATATTTAGGCTATACCTATTATAAAAACTGTAGTTACCGCACTAATTCTAAAATTAATAAATAGGTTTTATTTAACACACATTAATCAGACATTTTGCATTAATTTACATCCCTTCTCTTTTTCTTCTTCTGGCTCTACATTCCCAATCTACATCTGGTTGGAAAATTTGGCCTTCTTCACAATTTGCCTCCATTCTATTCACTTTTCTGCAGTTCTTTGCCATTGACGGACTCCTAATTTTTTTAAATCCTCCTCACGGCATTTATCCACCTCGCTCTTAGTCTGCCTCTTATTCTATTTATCATCGGTCTTTATTCAAAGGTATGTTTTTGTTTGCGATTTTCATCCATTCGAGATAAGTGACCTGCCCATCTTAATGTTTCGAATTTAATGCCGTCATTTTGAATTAGATCATTTAATTCATTTAATTCATTTACATCCCTATTAGCTAGAATTTTTCTCATGATATTTTCAAGCAAAATTTGCATACTTTAACTTGCATCCGAAATGAATAAAAATTATATTACTAGACCGTTCACATCTTGTTCCTATAAATTATAAAAATTACTTCCTGCTTAATATATTGCTTAAATTGCAGCTTAATACAATAAAATGACAAAAAAAAATTCTAAATCTAAATCATACGACAAAATACTAAAAAACTCACATTTTTTTTCTAGAGTTTCTCTCTTTCCTCTCATACATAAAAAGAAAAAAACAGAAAGAAAACACAAAGAGAGAAAAAGTTGCTTTTAAAAGCATTCCCTAGAAATTCTTACGGATTATTACCACTATTAATAATAACTGTTATTTCATATTCTTCTATTTTTTTTTCATTTTATTAAATAACATATTTTTATATTCATCTATCTCTTTCTTTCACATTTTATCTTTATAGCTACTGTATAATATGCATTATATGAAAATTAAATAAAACGTTTCTCATTTTTTTTTTTTTTTATCTTCTCTTTTCATTTTTGCTCTACCATTTTTTTTTTTATAATATAGAATCACAAACACATTGCGGTGACGTGCCACAACATTTTTGGGATACACCATATTCACAGCCATATTTTGATAACTCAACAAGAAGAGATGTCACAGCAACGGTTGGACAAGCAGCTTTATTACATTGTCGTGTTAGAAATTTAGGTGATAGAGCGGTAAGTTTTTAATAAAAAAAAAAATTGTATGTATATTACGTATATACAATATCTATGTGTGTATATGTGATCTTTGTATTATATTTTTTTTATATATTATGTGTTATGTGCATTGGTATTATGTATTTTTGTATGATATATGATTTGAACTGAGAAAAAGAAAAAAAAAAAAAAACGGAAAATGTAAAGGTACAAAAATATTAAAAAAAAATTTTGCTTTTTTTTTGCTGAAAATGTTAAATGTAATGGAAAGGTTAAAAAGAAAATGGAAGAATTTTTTTTTTTTCAAGGTACAAAAAAAAAAATTCCATTTTTTTTTTAAACAATATTAAAATTTTTGTTAAAGTTTTGCTTAAAAATGTTTTGCTATTGTGCTCTTAAGTGGAAAACAGCTTCATTCAATTCATTGTTATTACCCTGTACACCAAACATATGTATGTATGCAAGTTCTTCTTACAAATGTTTTAGAATGTAAACAAAAGCAAAATTATAAGAAAATGAAAGGAATTTCCTTTTAGGAAAAAAATATAAAATAAAAAACTTTCAAAAAATAAAGATGTCAGAAAATATTTACAATTTTTTCCATCTTCAGTTGTTGTTCTTTTCGTCGACTTTTTTACACAAAAATATACAAAATATTGTAAGGTACAACATAGAAAGACATTTTTCTCTAACCTCTGTCAGGTTAGATGTTTTATATTTAAAAATAAGATTAACTGCGTTCACTAAGTGCAAAATAAACTGCAGTATTGTGCCAGAATTGGTGTACAAAAAGAAAAATCACAATAGTCTTTACCACTCATTGCATGGCATTGAGTTACTAGTAAGGAAAAATTATTATTACTGATTTGATCTCGTCGTCAGATTGCGGTCTTACAACTTATTCTCAATTGTTCTTATTTTATTTTCACACATTGTACATTTATAAGGCTGTGACGGTATATCACCCGGTGTCAAAATCCGGAAAGAGGTTAATTTGAAATTCCTTAATAAGTTAAAATGAAAAAAACCTATAAACAAATATAAATAAAATTTGAAAAAATTTACATTTATTTTTTACTGAAAATTTTATTAAACTTTTTTAATTAACTTGCAGTATTTTAATAAACAGCCTTAAGAAAACTAACAGTATGATGTGCTTATGTTCACATTTTGAGTATAAAATTTTATCAAAAAACACAAAAATTAAATATTTAACCTTGACTTTTTTTTATAATATTTTTTATGATAAATAATGAAAAGTTTCGGCATGTGACTGACACTTCTACGATGGATAATTGTAAAATTTTAAAAACTAACTTTTCATAAATTATCTGTATAAGTATGTTTGAGGGTTATGTTTGTCTTAAATGTAATTTTTATATTTTTATATGCCCTTAAATTTAAATTATGCGTAGAATATGAAATAGACTTCTTCTATTTTAAAATTATTTAAATTTTTATCTATCAGCTATAGTGTTGCCTTACCAATATGAATCAGCTTAAAGTCTTCTTGAAAAATTTAATAAATTCAAATGATGTCTGGTATATTTTGGATAATATAGTTAGCTCCTTTAAGTACAATAATAATGCTTCCCATTAAATGCACTTCAAATTTAGAATATGATAGGAATCGCCTTCTTATAGTAACTTAATTTAATTGTCAGAATAGACGCGCAATAATCTGCAATGACTCGCGCGTCTTTGTATGGCAGTATGGCTTTACTTAGTAGAGAACTCGAGAATATAAATTAAACTCTTTAACACCAAAGTTTTTGTTGGCAGCGCTGCCGCCAGATCTTATTAATTGAAACAACATCGACAATTCTATTCCAACACAGTTTCAACTAATAAGATCTCTCGCAGTCAGAACTGTAAATGCAAATTAAATCTAGTTCAATCATTATTTCAATTCATCCTAAATGTATGCAATATTATTTGATGTTAGAGAATTATTCCATTAGATTCCCGCTATCATAATTTAGACCTAAATTATTAAAAACAAAAATTCGTGACATAATTATAAGATGGAAATGAAGTAATTGAAAACTTAATTGACTTCATTTTTGTCATATTCGTTCCTTGTCAATTAAACTAAATTATAGCAATATTATCTTAAAAATAAATAAATTTCAATTTAAATATGGAAAATAATTTTTTAATTGAGAATTCAATAAAAGAAAAATAACTTTAGATTCACTTGCCTGTTTATTGATTTAACCATATTAATGGCAGCAAAGAGCCCTGTTAAAGAAATAGCAGATTTATGAATATGTTGTGCTTTTATTAAGAATATTCATTAATATTTTTGTTTTCCATAATTCAGATATAATTTTATTCAAAATTAAAATCTTCTTGCACACTTGAAAAAAAAAATTTATCATAAAAATTCGATTCACACATGTACTGTTAACAAAAGGACCTGGCAATGAAATCGAAAATTCTGTACTTTTTCTTCATCCAACTGTGATATCTGTGTATGTGAATACATTAAGTATGTATGACCGGAAATTGAAAAAAAATTTGAGATGAGAATATTATTAAAAATATTCAAATAAAATTCTCTTTGTTGCCAAATTCAATTTGTCTTGAGAAAATTTTATTTTAGTTTTTCAAAGCATACACGAATGCTTTTATCAGTCTTATGCAAAATTAATTTTGAAATGAGTTCAGTAAGAGATTCAAATACAAATCCATACATAGAAATTATATTTAGCTATTGAATGTATTGGTTGTATTTAGTAAAAGAAATGCTCAATAAATAAGAGAATGAGAATCTGAATTTTTCGTTACTTTGCTTACAAAATAACTAATTTATTGAATTTTTCTCTCTTTACTCTTAATTTTTAATTACCGTTATGATAATTTTACAAATTATACATTACCACGTTTGGATTGATAGGAAATCAATTGAACTCTAAATATAGGAGAGCTATAATATTTTAAACAATTGAGTTTATTCATGTTATGTGGTTAGTCTTGCTAGTCAATTACCTTTTAGCTGACCAATAATTCAAATTAAAAAATTCAAGATTAATATTTAATTAAATCTATCAGATTTTTTCATTATTTTTCGGCTAAAATGTGAATATTTTTAAACTTCTTGGAATCATACGATTCTATAATATACATAAAAAATTCAATAAAATTTTGGATCAGACAAGATTAAATCATAAAATACTAAAGAACTTTAATCTCACCTTTTTTACCGACCGCATTCCGTCAAATAAGGAAGGTTATATGATGATACCCAATTTCAGATATCGATTTTTCAGTTGGAACGCACTTCTCTGTGGTAGGAAAGCGTAAATAAACTATTTTTACAGAGAATCTGTAGGTCTGTTGGTGTACCGGTGTGTGTATCGGTGCGTCGGTCTGTGTCTGCATGCGTGTATCTTAACTTCGCCTTAACCGATTTCAATTAAATTCTATGTGTGAGTTTGCGTCACGGATTGATCAACTTTTTAGATATGCCTCGTCAACTGGACCTTTTTTCTAATTGAGGGAATTTTTTGAAAACTCTTCAGGGAACTCGAATGGCACGAATCGAAACCCTACCAAGACCCAAATTTACATTTTTCCACGTATGTTAGTTGAACTTAAAATTCATTTTTATAATCTAATGTAACACTTTCTTTAAACTAGATAATGTACATTGTGGTCGGTTATGTGCTGACCACATCCGATTTTTTTCATTGAGTTCTTTCAAAAATTTCAATAAAATGTTTGTTTTTTTTTTCTTTTTAAATTTCGGGCAAAAATAATTTTATCTTTATTATTTTCATAAATAAAAAAATATTCGATTTTTGTTTAGAATGAAAAATGTTGATGTGTGCTACAGAATTTGAATTAAATTCAATTATTATTGATAATGTCTTTATAGAATACAAAAAAAATTTGGAAAAATTTTACACAAAACATTATTTTCGTAATATTTTTCTCATTATCCTCCGGTGACATTCATAATGTGCTTTTGTTCCGAATCACTTTATATCAATGTAATATTTTTTACCCTCATGTAGTTATTTTTAATGAAGACTGAATACTTTTTAATAACAATGATTTTAAAATTAAATGAAATGAAAAAAATATTACCTACGTCATTTTTTATTTTCACAACACGTGCCCTTGCATTTCTTTTTTGAAGGTTATGATTTTAAGTGCTATTACATACCTATATGTACCTATTCTAATTTTTTTTAAGTCTAAATTTAATTTGGAATTCTTTTGTGTAAAGACCCAATGTTTTTTTAAGGTACGTATATTTAAGATGACATGCAAAATTTTTGTAAATATTTTAAAATGAATTAAAAGATTTATGGAAAATAGAAGAATAATTCAACAATAAATATTGAAAAAATTGCAGAATATACAACAGTGCGGATTGCAGAATATATACAGATTTTGCTCGGATTAAGTCTGAATCCCACCGCATCCCCTCCCCGAATACCCCTCTACGCAATGTCATAAAGAATGCTCACATATTCACCCTAATGGCCATTATAATGATGTCATCAGCACAGGTGAGGACGTCAATTCCATGGTTATGCAACTCGTTTTGGCAGTTACCCTCAACACAGACTTCACGTTAGAAGAGACAAGACGCCGTCCTTTTCATCAGCATGTTGGCCATCCAAAACAAAATTGTGTAGTCCATGTTCCTACTTACCAGAGTCGCTCTTTCGTAAAACATGGAATGTGTTATGGAAGAGGCAGTCGATATAATAAAAATGCGCGCACGTACTCCTACTTTTGTATGATCAAACATCCTTCTTAGAAAACTCTTCAATCGATACAAATAGATATCTGTTCTGTAGATCTACCTTCTTGCAACACATAGTCGCTACTAAGGGGTTTTTTTAGCAATACCGTCGGTATAATATTATGATTATCTACTAGTTTTTCGAGTATCAATCTCCTCCTCCCCATAAAGTACAGCAAGACATATTCCTCCTATTGCAGCAATTCTGGGAATATTCCATCTACTGTTGGCGTAGTATTTTCAATTAATTTCTCATTCAATTCTCATTCAAACGATAAGCTCGTAAATTAGTTTAATATCGTCAATTCATACAAAGATTAGAATATTGTGATTAATTAATATTTAATTGTTATATATCATAAATCCTAATGATAAGTTAATGACTTTCTTAATTCATAAACTGTCTAAATACAATTGAAGTTAGTATTTGTATGAAGTACAAACTGTATCGAGTACCACTTTGGCACTATCAAACTCTATTACTCAGATATGTAATCGTTTTCTCTTAATATAGGTTTGAAAGAAAGTTTTCCTCTATTATATACATATTTGTTTTGATGCTCTTTTCTTATGTTCTTCCTCTTTTTTATTTTTATTGCTTATATGTACATGTCAAAATTTGAAAAAATTTAAAGTTATTGAATGTTTTTATGTAGAAGAGAACGATGAAGTTTTTCTTCTGTTCTGCTCCTCCGTCATCGTCTTTTCACTCTTATCGATCTCACTTATTAGAATCGTTCGTTTTTGTTTTACAAATTTTTCTCGTTTATCCTTTATCTTTACGTTTTTGTCAACTTTTTCCACTTCGATCTTTTTCTCTCTTACATTGCCCTTTTTATTTCACCTCTTTTGTTTGCTTTGTTTCCCCTTTTGTTTTACATTTTTCTCTGGCAGAAGAATAAAAGAAGAATTTCTCTCTTTTAAGATTTAAGTAAATTGGATCATTTCAAAAGGTTTTTTATTTCCTTATTGAGCAATTTCTTTTTTTATAATATTTTAAAATTTTGTTTTTCATACAATTTTTCTTTTTGTATTTTTTTGTCATTTCTTTGATTTAGTTGAATATTTTATATTTCTTCCCCCGTTCTTGAATTGAAGGTAAAAAAATGCCCTTAAGAACTTCACATATCCTATTAAAATTTTAAAATAAAAAGAGAGACAAAATGTGTAACAGAAAGAAATTGTTAAGTATTATGCAAGTTTTAGCGGGAGGAGGGAGTCTCCTATCTTAAGAAATTAGATATAAATAAGAAAAATGCTAAAGAGAACGGTGTAAAGTATAAAATATATGCAAAAGACAGACACTCAAAATAAAGTTGAATGCTAAAAAATCAACATTTTAGAGAACTTTCTTGCTTTGTGGTTTCTGGCTGAAATTTTTATTGAAAAATTACAGTGCATAGTATGAAAAATTGCAAAATGAAGGAAAAACATAAAAAAATTAAAAATTTAAATTCAATTTCAAACATTTTAAAAAAAAAAATCTTTTGTTCCAAAACATCATAAATATTAGCTTGTGGGTTTGATATAGTTTAGTTTAGAGAGGGGAGGTAGCAGACCTAGAGCTGCCATCCAGTACTAAGTCAGCAGAAGGCCCATTAGCGTCCCTCCACAGTACACAACAACCCCCCAAATTCATTAAAGTCCATTGAAAAAGCCCAGCAGATCACTCAGAAACACCTCTGATGTCTCTGGTCACATCAGAGCGGGGCACTAGCACAGCACATGATGCACATCCTCCATCACCCCAACATTTTGGCATCCCCGGCAAGTATCCGATGAGGAAATGCCCAGTCTCTTAGCCATCTTTCCCAAAAAAAAGTGTCACCCGCCCGCCACACCAAAGTAAGTCTCCCCTTCTTCTGATTTTTCATCTATACTGTTTTTCAATTCGCCTAAGGGCGGAAGCACCGACCAGTCCATTACCGCAGTGTTCGGTTTGATATAATTAACCGCTGTGGCTTCCGTTGTCAAAATTATAAGTAACGTGAGTACATCGCATCTTGAAATTTATAATCAACAATATTGAAACAAGCTTACAACAGGGCTTCTAAAGCTGACCTATTTACAGATTATGTATAACAATTCTTATGCATCCATATATTTAAATATTTTGATTAATTATTCTTGCATTTTACGTATAGTTCGCAAAATATAGGTCAAGAGCCATGGTGTTGGCGTTCTCACTTTATTTTCAGTTAGATATTCGAATGGCAGTAGGTGTGCAATTATAATTTTCTATCTACTAAATAATTATTACATTAAATCAGTTTTCCCTCTTTTTTAAAAAATTTATTTTTTAAAAATTCATTTTTTTTAACCCCTTATATAGAAACGAAATATTTATTGTCTGAATTCAAACATTCCCCATCAAAAAACAAAACTATGATAATTCAATTGCTCTTATATGACGTATAACAGAAAAAACTGTTATAAAAAATTAAAGCAATATTCACCATAATAACATCTATTGCGTAGATATATGAGAGAGTAGGTATCTAGAATTAATTTTATAAATGGGAGATTGGAAGAATTTAAGTGTACTTCATTCAAAATAATGTGAGGTGATGAACTGATAAACTGAATTCTTCTAGATGATGATATTCTCGTATTACTATGGAAAATATTGTAAATTTGCAGTAAGCTTTGCATTTAAATTTAGTTGAATTAATATTTAAATTAAAATTACTACAGATACTTCTATTTACATAATAAGGGTTAAGTATGTCACAGCAAATCTATTTTAATACTCTTATACTGTAATATTAAAAATTTGTAGTTTAATTTTTATCCCTCAATAATATAGTTTTTACCCCGTTTCCCTAAATTCCATAAAAAATTATCTTCCCTTTGTAATTTGCTCCCGGATAATATTACAATTTTTTTTTCATGTAGACGATTAAAACGTAGATGTTAACCGAACAACTGACAATATACTGACACCGTTTCCTTAAAGTAGGTAGAAATCACTGACATCCTCTTTATGAAATATTAATAAAAGTTTCAATAAAATCATGAAATTTTTCTAATTAAATTTAATATTTTTCTCTTTTACCTCGAAATAAAAATCACTACTAAAATCCGATAAGAATTTTCTTTTAAATCTTTTTCATATCATATGCATTTCATAAAATTCCATGGCACAATATTGATGAAATTCAAATTAGCCTGCATATTTTATATGGATATGTGTTCCTTTAAATTATTGACTCAGAAACATCAAAAAAAAAATTTTTAATCATGATTCATTTCATTTCTTCTTATCCTTTTTAATAAATTTGTATCCTTTTTTTTCTATTTTGATCGTGAATTTATAATATTGCAGAGGACCTTTATCATTTATGCCTCATGATATCCTTAAAAAAAATTTTATTCTTTTTCTTTCTTAAGGTTTGAATTCAGTAGGAAAAAAAAACAATACCGTAACTTATTATGAAAATGTATGACTATAATTTTAAATTTGTATAAAAATAATGGTAAAATGTTTTCTCAACCAAGAAAAAAAAATAATAATAATAAAGGAAGAAGGGAACAAAATAAACAAAATAATAAAAGTTGAAAGCATAAAAGAATTCAAAAATTTTATTTGTTTTTTTAAACATACACAATATTCGTGTTTAATAAATTTATGGTGTATATCCTTTTTTCTTAGAAAGTTATTTTTTGAAAAGGATTTATTCAAAACTGACCAGAAGTTTTAATTTTATAATAGAAAATATTTTTATGGTAAATTTTTTTGGAGTTGTATGAGCTGTTCTTCCTTCTTTTCTTCTACTCTGTATTAAAATGATTTTATTTTTGTTTGTAAAAAATATTAATATTTTCGTCTTTAATGGGCACATATTTTATTTAATTAAAATCAAGAATTTTGATAACCATCCTGTGATTTACAAATTGTAAGAAAAATTTCTTTCGGGAATCATTTAAAATCGGTTGAATTTTAGGCTTTAATTTAAAATTTGCATAAAGAATTTCTTGTTATAAGTTAAATCTTATATGCCATAGCATAGTATAAGAACATATCAGAAAAGCAAACTCAATTCATAGTTTTTTTCTTTTTTAATGTGTTAAATATTTAAGGTGTTAAATATCATCGAAACACATAGATAAACGGGTTCCAATTTTTGCCAAACCTATAATAGTAGAGACTTGAACCCATCGTAAAACGCAACTGGGTGGTAATTACATCTTAAGATGAGTCAAACTGACTAACTATCAATATATCGTGTTTTCGCGTCTATATTTCTTCTCAACACTTAACTCACTCCAATATACAGCCCGAATCCAATATCGGCCAGATTTAGAACCAGTTCGAGTTCTCCGTACGCAAGCATAGTTAATATAATCTTCCTCCCCTCTAAATACTTCATTCGCGTCCAATTTCTCTGTTATTACCTTTTCTACGCAAATCTAGCCTGATTGCTATCCGAACATTCAATATATCGATCCAACCTGGGAAACCCCAAGAAATCAAACAATAAAATGCAATATACTAAAACTGAAATTTGGTCACTTTATTTTAAGCCTACATACCTTTCAATTTGGTGTACAAATGGTTTCTACAATAATAAATAAATACAAAACATACCTATTGTATTATGCATAATAATAATATCAGTGTACAAACATTCAAACTTATATTTTATAAATTTATAATATAAAAGTATTTATCATATTTTTTAATCTTGGCATTTTTTTTATTATATTTTTTTTTCTATTATTTTCATGTAAAAAATCCAATGTGTGCTGGCTGCTATATTATGTTTGACCCCATCTTTATTTTTTCTTCTAAATGGATTTATCAAAATATCCTTTTGCTCTATATAACATATACCTACTTACATAATAATATGCGTTTATATTCTTTCAACATCAAAATAAAAAATGGTTCATAATTCAACATTTTCATCACAAACAAATCACAATAACATCAACTCCTTAAATATCCAACATTTAATTTTCAATGAACAACCAAACAAACAAATAAACTTTTAACTAAAAAAAAATCGTCCTTTCAAAAAATCTCAACAAAAAATGAATATAAAAATAACCAACGATAAAACAAAAAATAAACAAAAAAAAAATAAAAGGTTTCATGGATTCGTAAAAGAGATCTTCATATATTAACGGTCGGTATTCTAACATATACAAATGACCAAAGATTTCAATCTTTACATACTGAAGGATCAGATGAATGGACATTAAAGATATCATCCCCACAGCCACGTGATTCTGGTACATATGAATGTCAAGTTTCAACCGAACCTAAAATAAGTCAAGGATTTCGGCTAAATGTTGTTGGTACGTATATGAGATGTTTGTCTATATATAATATGAAAATTGTTAAAAATATAAAATTGTAGTTCTTTATTTTCCTATGATATTATTTTTTATTTTTTTATGCTATAATATATACAGTGAAGTCACTTTGCGATGAGTAAAATATTGAATGTAAAAATGCGTCTAAAATCTAATTATTCCTTATAAGAATATTAAGAAGCAACTTGGATCTCGGGCAAAGCGGGAAAGAAAGACATGGCCAAAATTATTCAGATTTTTATTGAAAACAATCTTGAAGGCAATAATCCAAACTTGGTTTTCGGATTATTGTCTTAAATTGTTTGTGTTTGGGAACTGCTGGTAAGGAGGCCGCTGAGCGATGATCAGCATACAGAAAAAATAAAACGGACGGTCAAGGAAAAGCGCTCCGTTCAGCCTTACTATCACCCTGGAAAGAAAAATAGAACAAATAGAGGTGGTACGATGTGCGTTCTTGGAAATCGAGGAAGCTTTCGACAAGAGAACATTTCGTATGAAGCAAGGGCGAAAGAAGGTAGGCACGAAGATGCCACCACCTCTCTGTGGCAGCCCAACATGTAGGTTATAAGATTTGTAGAGACTGCTGTAGAGCACCCTAAAGGTGCGTGTAGCTAAAAGATTACCACAGGAGTGTGTTCTATCTCCGTAGATGTGCATTTTAATGGTGGATGCGCTCTTTGTTGAGCTGCTTCCTCAAGGAGTTGACGTCCAGGCTTATGCCGATGATATTGTCATAATTCCTAGGAGTAAGGTTGAAAGCACTCCTTGTCCAAAAAGAATTACGCGTAGCATAAATCTGGTGTGACGCTGTGCCTGTAACGATTGCAAAGACTTGCATACATGTGTATCATACAGGCTATAAGAACGTGTCCAACTGCGGCACTGCACGTGCTTTTGGGATTAACCCCTCTGCAACTTGTTGTTGAGGCTGAAAAAAAATTGAGTTGAAATGATCGCGGTAAGGGATCGCGATCGTCTCGTTGGAGAAATTCTGCTCCTGGCAATGCCTGGGGAATTTCAGGGAAAATTTCACCTCGTTGCAAGGCAACGCAAAGGATTGTGAACGCGAATTTTCAGAACTATGCCTTATATTTTCGCAGATTCCAATTGATATACTAAAAGGACTATCAGACTTTTAGAACTTTAAAACAGGAAAAGAAAAACAAAAATTAATTGACTTCAAATTGCAATTTAAAAACGAATTTTATGAAACTCAAATTCAAAGTTACGCCGCTGTATATAGGAAAGCATTATTAAAGTAATCTTTTATCGTTTTTCTATTTTATTTCATTTTTTTTCTTGTCCTGGTGATTTTTGTTTTACTTGTTTTTTTTTCATTATTTTGTTCTATAAAAAGAAACGGCCCATATTCATTTATTCTAAAGGATTAACAAAAAAAAAATGAACTATGTCAAAAATTTATTTTATTTTTTTCAATTCTTCTATTCTTTTCCTGCCGTATTCAGGATGAACGGATTCACTTTACAAAAAAATAAAAAGAATAAAAAAAATTAGAAATAAAAATTGTAAAAAAAAAAAAGTTCAAAAATATTTTAGATGAAAATTTCAGGGTATTAGTCTAACCCTAAGTTAAAACGAAGCCTAGGAACGAATAAATTCGTTGTTAAAGAGGATAAGAGTTTCAAAAAAAAAATAAAAAGCAAATATTGTATAAAGAAAAAAAAGCTTATTTGGAACGATTTAAAACTTTTCTAGGTTAGACAAAGTATTTTATGTTCCAATTTGTAACAAAAAAATATTTGTTTTTCGAATTCAAAACCCAAAAATTTTATATTTGAATTATAAATTATTTAGGTTTTAATACAATGTTAACTATTCATAAAATTGTGTTAGATATTTTATTGAAGGTGGAAAATACAGAAAAAAATTAATAGGTATGCTAGTTTTGAAACTTGTAAAATTTTGCGGGTATTTGATAGGATTTTGAATACAAAAATTTAGTGTCAAAATCAAAAAGTGCTGTGTAGGTTTTTTTTAATATTCGATTTTTACATAGCTTGAACACATTTGTGCGACTTTATTACTTAAGAGTAAGTAGGAAAATATTGAACCGTTTTTGAAAGCACGTTTTGGCATTTTTGTTGCGTATATTTAAAATTGCAGCCTTATTCAGTATCTAACACTTTTTCACAATATATTGCGTCCGAAGAAGGCGAATACTACATATACTGTTCCTAGTTTTCAAAATCAAAGCTTGAAAAATGCTAATGTTAGTTAGCATATTTAAAAATATGGTGATTCTGTTTTAATAGGGGATCGATTTAGTCTAAATTATAACTCCAATTGTATTCTATTAACGCAAAATTGAAGAACGTGAAGGTATAAATATGCACTTAATTTTAATCGACTTGCAAGACAAATATTCCAAAACGTGTTTCAAATTATTAAACCTTACCAGAGACCCTAAACCCCAATTTTTTTTCCATTTAAATTTAAACAGAAAGATCATCATTTCTTTTGTTATTAAAGTTGATGCGGCATATCTATTTTTTCTGAATGATTACCCCTATAATCAGAGCATTTCATAAAAAAAAAATTTTTTTTTTTCGTTCTTTATCCTTTTATCTCAGTTATTTTACGATCTCACTCCTTATTTTATAATTTTTTTTTGTTTTGTTGTAACAACTAATAGAAAATTCCGAGAAACAAATAAAAAAACGAAGGAAGGAAAAAAATGTTAGGATCAAAGTGAAAATTTTCTTTTTCATGTTGATTTAAAAAAAATACAAGAAAACAAGAAAAAAAAAGGAAAATTTAAATTAAAAAAAAAAAGGCATTTTTTTTTCGTATACCCGAATCTCTTCAATTTCAAACACATTTACATACATGTAAATGAAAGTCTTTACCTAGATTTTTTTTTTAATTTTTTTTTAAGTCCTGAAAATCATTTGTTTTAATTCAAGTTTTAAAATGAAGTTTTTTAAATTAAATAATTCAAAAGTAAGTAAAGATTTCCAATATATTGCATTTGTTCTAGAATATCAAAAAATTTAAGTATTTAGTTGTGTCACTGTAAAATTATTTTCTTAACATGCTTGTAATGCAATTCGAAAAATATGCAAAATATTTCCACCCATACGTATGTACTCAATTCATGACTATATCTATATGTACATTTGCTTTAGAGCTTCAGTGCTGCAGCATCTGATATAGAAAAACTTACTAATATTTTATATGTAAACTACTTTAAAAAGTTTTATGTAAAGAGAAATGAAAATTCTGCTCTAAAAATTCAATTCACCTTGTTCCAGAAGAAAAAGAAAAAAGTTCAAGAAAATTTTAATGATTTTTTATATATAAAACAAGGACAAAGGCTATAACTTTTCCAAAATGAATTTATCGTATTACTTAAACTAATATGGTTATTTGTGTGTAATGTTTAAGTTTCAACTTTTAATTTAATGCTATATCTAAAGTATTTTCATGAAATGTAAGAAATTTGCTAGAAAATTTTAAAAATATTGAGAAAGTTTTTATTTAAATTAAAATAGTCAAAATCTTAAAAAAATTATCATAAAGTAAATGAGTAAATTTATAGAGATTTGAAATAGAAGCAAAAAATCTCGTAATATTTCCACAATTCATGGGAGATTTGAGTGCTTCTATCTGCAAAAAGCTTAATACTTCAAATATTTCTTAAATTATGAGATCAATTTGCGTAAGTCCGAATGTTGCAATTAATAGAGACGTAAACGATCAAAGAATGTTTGTTCAAGAAGGTTACACTAAAGTCTATTTATCCATGTCACAAATTTTACATTGAGAGAGAGTAAATTTTAAGGCTTTGAATACCAGTTACGTTCAATATTTTAACAATAATTTTCCGTCTAATTGATTTATTACAATGAAACCCAATTTAAAGTACATTTACCCTATAGTTTTTTTTTACTAAAATCCTTCAGCAATCAATATTTTTAAAAAAAATTTGCATCAGTAATCCTCAGCAAAACAAATGGCTGTAATATTCTGATTTTCACGTTTAACCTTCAACCATTCGACATAATATATTTTTTAGTTAGTTTACTCTAAATTACAAAAAAAAAAATACTCTCAAACAAAGTTTTAAAGTGGAAGTAAAAATTTTAACAGAAAACTATTCTTGCAACTTGCAAGTGCAATATAGGGCTGAAAGGTTTTTTTTCTCTCTTTTAATTTTTAACTTTTTTTTTACTCTTTTTAATCTTGAACTATACTTAATGATTCTCAAAAGCAGGAAATCCGTTTTCTCTTGTTTTCTCTCTCCTTCTCCCCCTCTCGCTCTAAATTCAAACGGATTTATTGAAAATGCTCAATCATTATTGCCACTATTAAACACGAAAACTGGTGTGAATTATTCAAATGAAAAAGAAAATAAAGTTCCGGCTTTTTTTTTTAGTTTTAAACACTTTCCCCCTTGGTTTTTTAGTTTTTCTGTAGATTTATTGAATTTACAGTAATGTACGAAAGTTCTGTATTAAAAATAAATTAAATTTTTATATAGTTTATTAGATAGTAAATTGTCTTTCAGCGTTCTGCAAAATATTCAAGTCCATATCACAATTTTTAGTAAAAAAATACAACTTAATAACAACATTTATCATATGAGTTCGAAGAACTGAAAGAACCTGTAAAAAATGAAGATTCATTTCAATCAAAATTTCATTCTACATTTAAAATGACCAATTCACTATACATTATTTCATAATGAACTTGAGTTATATTACCAAATCAAACTCGACTGAACCAAGGTGTTTTCAAGACGTGCCATGATTTATAGGTTAGGTTAGGTTAGGTTGCACGGCCCCCCAAAGGGTGCACCTAGGCCATCCAGGCCCGTTGCGATATCGCCGGATCCTCCCCCTCTCCCTCATTAGAACCAGCCCGAGTTCCTCAGAAACTGGCCAAGATTCTTAGCATTTTTACATTCGCTAGGTCCGTAGCCCGCCCAAAAAAGTGGACTCCAAGAAACCTCCACTTGGAGT